CCCAGATCCCCCCGATATCAACTCCGAGCCTTCACCATAGCCCAGCTTCTCCTCACGGACCTACCAGTTCGTCTTCCGCGCAATCGTCACCGGAGCCCATGCCAAGCAATCCCAAGAAGCGAAAATCGTTCTCCGAAGAACTAGACAAAGCAATACCCGATAAAAGAGATAAGCAGCCGCCGGTGAAGAAGACGGCTCATAATATGATTGAAAAACGATACCGCACGAACCTCAACGATAAAATTGCCGCGTTACGAGATAGCGTCCCAAGTCTTCGAGTAATGTCACGTGCAAATGGAAACGAGGAGGATGACGAGCCGGAGGATCTTGAAGGTCTCACCCCGGCTCACAAGCTTAACAAAGCAACAGTCTTGTCGAAGGCGACCGAATATATTCGCCATTTGGAGAAACGAAACAAGCGTTTAACGGAGGAAGTCACCCAGCTGAAAGCCCGAATGGACAGCTATGAAAAGATGGCCATGTCTGGACCGATGGGTCTGCCTGCTTCAGTCAGGACTCCAGACGGTAGCAGGTATCAGGAAGATCCCTTTGCGCCGCCTACTTCGATGGTCGGATCAGCATCAGGGCCTCCGCAAGGGATGATTCCCGTCCCAGAGAGTATGGCAAGTCTACACCGGGGGCTACCTCCTCAGCCGCACTATGCCCCTGCTTATCCAACCCACTCTAGCTCGGGCCCTCGCCCTGGCATTTCCGTTCCTATGGTAAACGGCAGAAGAAGCGGTGCAATGATGGGCAAGTTAATGGTCGGATCCCTTGCAGGACTCATGATCCTAGAAGGCTTTGCGGAGCGCGAGCAATCCCAAGAAGAGCCTGCGGGCCGCGGATTGTTGGCTCTTCCCATCGATCTCGCCACAATTCTTACTCCCAGAGTATCCCTTGGCGCCTCGACGGTGCAGCTACCTCTAGCCAAGCTTTTTCTCATTTTTGGAGCTGTCTTCTATATAATTGCGCCTTTCCTCGATTTCCGATCGAAGCCTAAGAAAAAGTCGATGCCAGCACTCACACTATCTCGCGCCCCTTCGCTCGCATCCCCCGTTGAAGTCCGTCGCAAGGCGTGGTTGACAGCCATCCAAACGGTATGGGTTCCCCAACACAACTTTCTGTTGGAGGTTGCAGCCTTAGGCTTGAAGACATTAAAACTCAGCACACGCCAGATTATCGGCTGGCATGGATATGCCTTACTCACTGGCACCACGAAGGAACATGAAGCTGCCCGCATCAAGGCATGGAACATTGCACTAGATGCCCAACTTACCGGTGGAGATGCAGAAATCAGCAAGAGTCGCTTGATCCTCACGTTGATGGCATCTGGAACATTACCAGATACCCCAGCCCGTTTGATGCTGAAGGCCTTGCACATCCGTGTCTTACTTTGGGAGGTTGCTAAAGCCGGACAGGGTACATGGATGCTGGACGATTTAAGTGCGAAGCTTGCGCGAAGATATTGGAACATGGCCCGAAGCGAACAAAGAATCGCTGCGAACATGGCTGTAAATGCCGGTAGCGAGGTCGAAACACTACCAGAGCACCTAGCCGCCCTCTTGGAGATGGAATGTGACAACGTGCTGATTCCGGACATCATTCACCGCGCGTATAATCTGGCATGGAACAAGACCAGTGCTGAAAATACAAAGGCTGATACATCTATGGATGCAGTTGTTGAGGATTTTGCCATCTGTTCTCCCCTAGACGCTCTCGCAGCCTGGTGGTCAAGCTATACGCTCAAGAAGGCCCTTGCTGGTTTCCTGGGGTCAAAAACGTGTTCGCCAAAGGAAGACTTCAAAGCAGACCTAAACCTCGCCGCAACTACAGCTCCCCCAACGTCTCAAGCACATCTCAGGGCCCTAGTAGCTCAAGCAGTTGTGCTAGATAAGAACCGTTCCCAATATATCAATATTGCTCTCAAGGCTTTGCCGCTTCCTCCATCTACATCGAAGTTGTCCGGTGGCAATAGCCCGGTACTCATGAACGTCGTGGGTAACACGCCATTGGCAGCAGATATACAGATAGCCCTTACTTTGGCCAAATGCCTAGCATTAGTCGAGTCAACAGACAACGGTGCCCATAATCGCGCCATTTCTCTTATCAACAGGGTGTTCCTTCCGGAGGCCACCACCACCCTTCTCAGCTTCGTAGCGGGCTACGCAGTGCTCAACCACTTCATCAAAGACCCAACCCTGCAAGCCGAGAGCAGTCAAGGCCTCGAGCGATTGGCAAGCTCGTTACGAACGTGGGTTGGCCACGATATAGGTCGCCGGAGCGGTATGTCGAACAGGGTTCGAAGCAACATCGTCAGATATTGCGTGGAGGCAAGCAAGACGCTTGTAGGCTTGACCCAGTCGGATCAAATCGACGACGGCTACGTTTCACAAAGCGACAAAGAAGATTAATCCTATATCTTCTCCGCGACTTTCAAATGTCTAATTATATCTTTAGTTCATTTCATCGATTTTCATTTGTTATGGCCAGACAGTGCGATTGAGCGATCATGTGTTGGTTCAGCGAAGCGAGGGGTACAATGGGAGAATGGGCGGTATACATCGTCAATTCAGGCGATTATCATCGACTTGTCGTACATTTGCTTGTGTTCGATTTAGGTCAAAATGATATGGACGGCGCATTGGTGGTTATGGATCTATGGTCGGCAGCGTTGTTTTCTTTTTCTTTTTTTTTTTTTTTTTTTTTTTTTAAAAAAGGTTCATCTACCTATTCAGCTGCATCTGACTAGGATTTCTCGTTCTAAGTCGGCTATAGAGGCTTGGTTTGTTGGCTAAAGGAGGACCATGGGAGGTCAAATCTCAACTTGCTACATGTTGCATATGTGGCTGTAAATGCAGTAGATACTTATCAATTGATGCATTTCGCAGCTTATAGCATATGACTTTAAACCTCCTTCTTACAAAACGTGAGCTTTGTTGCTGTGATCAGTCTGGATCAGATAATCAAGGTCAAGCAAGCCATTCAGATAATCAAGCTGCTGTTATCGATTAGCGCTGAGTGTGCATCGTGCCTCGGCATCTCGTCGGATAACAACTCTGCACAGCTCAATCCGCACCTCGAAGCACGCAGGGTATATAAAATCCATGCATTGAACCATGATACCCTCATAAGAGTTTTCTTTCTATAAATCCACAATGGCGGCTCTCCCACCCCCAAAGGCAATTCTCTTCGATATCGGCGGCGTCTGTGTAGGTATATACTCTCACCCCCAACGCCGCCCTCCACCTCTCGTAGCTAACGTCAGATTCTTCCCAGGTGGTTAGCCCCTTCCAAGCCATCCTCGACTACGAAATCGAAAACGGAATACCAGTCGGATATATCAATTTCGCGATCCAGATCGGTCCGCACGACAGTGGCGCGTGGCAAAGAGTCGAGAGGGGAGAGGTAGATTTGGATGACGAGTGGTTCGAAGAATTCCGGAAGCAACTAAGCATCCGCGAGCACTGGGCCGAATACTGGCGAAAGACAACGCTCAAACGAAATAGCGGCGCCGGCGCCGCACCCAAGACCTCGGACTACGTCCCCGCAGTCCCGAACATTGATGCGAAGAAGTTGTTCTGGAGGATGATGCGCATCAGCAGGACGCCGGACCCATGGATGTATCCCGCACTGAAGAAGTTGAGGGCCAGCGGGAGATTCGTCCTAGGTGCGCTGAGCAACACTGTGCATTTCCCGACCGGGATACTAGATGATGAGGGTGTGCTCTTCGAGAGAGGGTTACTGCATCCACCGCACCCACACCCACACGCCGACGATTCCTCGAATATCCAGGATGCATTTGATATTTTTATTTCGAGCGCTCACGTCGGGGTCCGAAAACCGGATCCGGGGGCCTACGAGCTGGCGGTTCGAGAGTTGAATCGGGTGGGAAAGGAGAAGGGGATTGGTGGGGTTGAGGCCGGGGAGGTTTTGTTTCTGGATGATATAGGAGTGAATCTGAAGTGGGCAAAGAGGAGTGGTTTGAGGACGATCAAGGTTGATTTGGGGAGGACAAGGGAGGCTGTTTTAGAGTTGGAGGGGCAGACAGGGGTGAGGTTAGTAGAGGAGAAGGGTAGGTTATAGGTGGAGTACTAGATACAAACAGAAATTAGGAAGGGAGCGAACATTATCCCGTAAGACCATTGTCCAAAGATGGACATATTTCGTGGGGCCTGCGTACAAGTGCTAAGCTTGACGATGGTTTAAGGGCCTCATCGACTGACTGGTCCTGAGCCTCTCGCGCCGTCTATAACCACAACTAAATGACTTGAAAAAAAAAGGCGTCTATCAAACGACTTTCCCTCGGGGAATCGAACCCCGGTCTCCCGCGTTGGTAGGTTCGAAGGAATTTTGACAAGCGGAAATCATGACCACTGGCTATGTTAGCCAACACGCAGTGCTTGACGCTACTGGTAAATTTGAAATGCTTACCTGACCAAGGAAGATTTTGTACATATTGGTGGAGAGAAAGGTTTCCTATTCAGTTTATACAAAAGAACTGTAAAGAAGAAACACTGGATATTAGCTCGACGAAGACAGCGGAAGGGTGATTGGGGCGTAGGGGAGCCATTCCAAGCAACTACAAACAGCACGGTGTTCTGATTCCAAAGACGAATAAGCAGCCTCAATAAGTTCTTTGTAAGCGTAGATATCTATCATTTTTTCTCGATTGGGCTTAAGGTTTGACGAAGAGGCCAATCAACGCAGATCATCAGAGTTGGCGGAGGTTTACTCAGACTCGAAGACCACGCACAGAGAATTGCACATCCGTTCACTCAGTATTTATTCTCCAAAGCCTATACCCTCAACACTCAAAATACAATAGACAACACAAAAGCCTCCCAAAAAAATCTTCCTTCCTATTCAACACCGCTGATTCACCCACGTCCATAAAGTGGAGATGCCAAGCGCCGTCACAGTATAAAACCTCTAACGCCGCCAACCCCCATCAAATCCTTCAACCAGCATTCCGACACGGAATCAGAAAAAAAAAAAAGCATCTCTCCCTCGGGGAATCGAACCCCGGTCTCCCGCGCTCGTTAGACAAGTCTTTGACAAGCGGAAATCATGACCACTAGACCAAGGAAGAAGGAAGAATTTGTTTAATTAATGAGACCTTTCCAAGTTGAGATTATATATATCAACCAAATTGATATCTCATGCACATGATTTCCGAAACCATCTATTTACCTCCTACGAGGCAGGTTTAGCTGCAATCCGAGTTGATGGCATGTGTGTGGAGTCGGTCAGCATACCAGATGATCTTGCAAAAAAAAAAAAAAAATTTTTTTTTGGGGGGGGGAGGCCTACTTGGGGAAGACCTGTTAGCCAACTTAATATTACGAAACCGCGGGCATGTTGATTGAAAAGCTTGTATATAATAAACTTACGATGCTGACTTTACGTATCTAGCGATTGTATAAGTGGAATGGTTTATTATGCGACAGTCTTGTACATCTATAATATAAGTGCTGGCCGGTGGGTCAGTTGTAGTGAGTGGATGTATGTCTTCCCAGTATCAATAAAATATGAGCAGAATACCTATTTCCTCTATAACTCTGACTTATAGGCTCTCATACCGAGATACCTAACTCACTACATATAGCACAGTACATAATGAGAAACAATCTAGGTTTAGATAGGAGAGTGCGTACGGACTACGAAACCGCAAAATATCTTAAACTAACAAACAACTTTCACCAAAAAAAAAAGGAGGCATTAGGAAAACTCGTAGCATGCTCGATTCCATCTCCCAATTCGCTTCAGAGGTACCGCATATGTACCTTCGTTTCATCATTATCAACCTGACACCGTAATTTAGGGTTCCTCCAATCTGGAATCAGCGCCCTTCATCGCAGTCGCTCAAGACCCAGAAAACCGAACGGAAATGGTCCGAATCGAGAAGCGCGTAGCCTACGCATATTATTCCGTCTTGATCTTCTCGTTAGATATCAGTACCAGGCATTATTAGCATGAAGTGGGCTACTGCTTATAAGAGCCCTTTTAGACTAGGATAGGGAAAGTACTTCCGAAGCTCTCCAAGATGTTGAGAACAATTATAGGTTCTACCTCACTATGCTGATTCAGAAGGTTGCTGAATGATGGGTACTTAGTGGGCGTCTTGAGGGCGTTTGCATGTAATGTAGTATCTCGAATGATAAGTCCTCGTGTAGGGTGCAGGATGAAAGTGATAATGTAAACCGTTCGAAACTGAATAATAGTAATCATCTAATACAATGCCAAAATCCTTCTATTATAATCGATTCCATTGATGTAGTTTTATAACCCAGTATTATGTCTAGCCAGCATGACTGACTCGAAATCTTCCACCTTACAGTCACACAAGCAATTCCCACATATAAGAAGGTTCTTCCCCTTTTCTCACTCTCTAGAACCATAATACGCTGTTTGCTCCCTAACTGGCTTACCGTTCTTGGAACATTCGTGCACTATTGGATGCGTTAGACATTCACTCAGGCCAACGGGATATGAACCTTGAAGCTGAATCACAACTTGCCTCTTAGTGCAGGAGATAGATGTTCCTTCTAATGTAAGGAATCCATCTCTTAGGTTTATTCATAGCCCCTAAAAACATGGAGTAGTTGTCTGCCGCCTATAAATATGCAGCATGTCCACATATTTCACGACCGCCCTAGGAGAATTGGTAAATTAAAGAATCTATATGCTTGCATAAGCGTCCTATGTAACCATAAAATATTCGGCCGAGCTATGCGCATGCACAACAGCCATCTCTTGTCTAGACGGAATCTTATCAACTTTTTTCCGTTAAAGTCTCCCGGAGGTATCAATGCTAATTTCTCTGGTCTAGCATTATTGAATTTCCTTCAACGTTAGTAGTTACATCAACGTCGTCGCTATTGTTCTTCATTCCGCACGCGTCCTCGCCCGTGGTCTCCTTCACAGTTGAGCCATTCTCCTGAAAGCCTGCTCCATTGTTAAATGTGCTTGTTGCCAGGACCTTTCGCCTTTTCAACCTCTCATCACCATCTTCCTCCTTTTTTCTTTGGATTGCCCATGCCTGTCGGCTTGCTTGTGCCTCCCATTGCTTTGCTTGCATTTCCCTATATGTCGTGTGTTTCTGCCACCACTTGCAACGTTTTTCCAACGCATTCGCGTACTTGTCCATGTCCAGTGCGTACTCCTGTAACGCAAAAACCCCCGCATGCATTACTTTGCTCGTGTCCTCTCCTTGACTAACTCCTTCACTCTTGCGATAAATGCTTGTTGCCACTCATATTCGTTCTTCTGCTAGTCTCTTGCTTGCTGCTCTTCTTCTTCTGCTTCGCGGTCCTCGTCCAAATCTCCCAAATCGTCGGGTTCTGGGATGTTTATCCCTGGCGAGGTTGGTGGATCTGCGGTAGGTTGTTCATTGGGATCGGGCACCCTTTCCTGGTCTCGCATGAAGGCTTCCCAAGTCGGGTAGGCATTGTGAGGATATTCTGAAAAGCTATTGTAGTTTGGTGGATCTGTCATGGCTAAACCAGGGGGAAATGATATGATGAAAGATGGCGCAATGCTATGAAACGGAGTTAGGATGCTGCGAGGTGGGGTGATATCATGAAGTGGCTTGGAGGACTCTGAACTTAGAAAGAGCTTCGTCTTTGGCTTTCATACGGAGGATTTGCGGTCGATTGTGTCAACGACGACTCTGTGCAGGAACAATCGATATCATAACGAGATATCCCAACGACTTTGTTGGTGTATGTCTTGAAGGACTGTGGCATTTTCCGAAGTGGACGCTGCCTCTCTGAACTATGATACAGCTGCCTCAAGTCGTTATTGTGAACCACAGACCGTTAAGCTAATAAACCGTTGAATTTCGATAATACTCTTTTCCTTTGCATATTTACTATGGTACAGGTTTTTGCAAATAATTTATTGTAGAAAGATTGTGCTGTGAACAATAAGGTCAAACAGAATCAGACGTTGAGTACCGTGAATTACACCAGGAGCAGTATCCAGGTACTAAACATTATAGCAAGTTGGCTACGGTTGATTTTTCGAATTCACTCTCCTTTCTCACTGCCTATATGCGAATACAACAGCCTCACAGTATTCCTCAGTTAACGGAAGCTTGGATTGAAAATTGTGTCTTTATATTTTCTTCCACCTTCACCGGTGCTAGAGAATTGCGGCTTTACCATTTGATTATCCTCTTCTCATTGATACGACTTAGCCCCTTCAGCCCACCCCGTCACTCAGTGTACCGCGCAAGAACATCATACCACTGATTCGCAAATTCCGAGATAATAGCAACCGCCGTTGCCCATGGGCCTCCCTCGTACTCACTAGCAAGCCTTACGCACGCAATTCCTCCCCAGACCTCAGGACTCCCCCCGAGACCCTAAAAGTCCCGCAATACGAAAGTTCCACAAGCCCCTGTTTTCCCAAACCAAGACGATATGCGAGATGAACGTTACATCAAATCAGTCTCCTGAGGGTTCTTTGCCAACCCACATAATCATGACAAGGAAGATCGTACGATACACCCGCCTCCGCGTCCCCACAGGCGCGAGATAAAAGGTAAATCATAGTGAAACCAAAAACCATTATCCTCCTCCGCCCCATATAAACCCCCCACCCACCCAGCATCCAGGAAGTCGCTAGCTAGAATAATGCCCCGGGATAGACTGTCTACCATGAGACTGGGACGGGAGATGCCTTTCATTCGGGACACTCCCAGCTTTCCCTCAAGCGGCTAAGCAATCCTGCCCGCGACACGAACGAACATATGTACATGTACGCAAACCTTATGAAATGAAAGGGGGTTCGGGCTTGATGAACCCATTTTTGATTTCTCTGACAGAGTCCCACGCTAGTCCCTTTGGCATGGGACGGGACTTGCGACTAAGTACAACCATGATTAAGGGTCTCAACCAAAAGACCCAGATCCGAGTCAGTCCCAGCTTCCAGCGCGATCCCCTGACCAGCTCGTCAGATGAAACGCTATCGACTTGTGTCCAAAAAATTTTTTAGAGAAAAAAAAAAAAAAAAAAAAAAATTTTTGGCCGGCTTCTCTGGAAGTCCTCGCGACGGGCGATCAATGGGTGGTAGGGTTAGAGGGAAATGACTGGCAGGAAATTAATCAGAAACAAAGAATCGATCTTGCGCCACCCTGGTGGCAAATCAATTCCTTTCTCCCCAACTTCTGCCGTACATACTGCCGGGAGCCTGGATGCCTCGGGCGCCCGATATTTGGATATCGGTTCGACTACTGCGGACTTCTAGACGCTGTGTAGAAGGGAAACCGACGGTACAGGTTCCTAGCCCAATAATGGACGTTAGCGTGTTTGTAAAAACATGGTATGTGGATTTGGTTGTGATGAGACTTAGTACGCGCTATGAATTATATCACGAAGATATGAATTGTGATTGGCAGATGCGAGAGCCTGGAGTATGGGAGCTCGCTCATTCGTCCTCGTCATTAGGAATCGAAGGCTGTAGATTCAGAGCTGCCACCTTTGCACTTTCCGTGGAGAAAGATAGTGAATGAGCATCACGGAATCTTATCTGTACTGAACGGAGCGCAAGGTGTTCATCAATCCATCTGATCATCGAAATTTACAAGACATCGCATGGTTTGATTTGGACTTAGCCCAAAACGGATTTATTTAGCCCTTCCACTAACACCAACTATCTGTAAGAATTCTACCTGGTTGATTCTGCCACCGGAAGTCGGTTTGGATCGTCTTGATACGATCTATGGAAAGCAAACAATTCGTGGTATCGTGTCTGGCGCTCCCGTCGCCAGTGAAATATGATAATTCCGTTTTGTGTGGGGCGAATATCGCCTTTGAATGGGGTAGGGAAAAAAAAAAAAAAAAAAAAAAAATATTCCAAACCAAAACTCCAACTGCTATGCATAAAGTTAAGAATAGAGTATGCTGTTCGTCCTAAGAATTCTACTCCTCGAAGACAGCAGGAGTGTTGTGCATGGCCTCCTTCAGCGCCTTCTTGTGCTCACGCTCAATGCCGTGCTTAACCGCTTCGAGGACGTTATCAACTGTGGCCTTTGGCTGGAACCGGGGTCTGGTGCCTTCTTGAAACACTCCCGTGCGTACAAGAATG